CACGAGTGCAATCGAGCAGGTCGTTCGTTTCGACAATCCTATCCTTCCGACCGCGACCGCGACGACAACCCCCTTGGGGTTCGCCAAATTTGTAGAATCGAAATCGAAATCGGAAGCAGACAGCATGCTCCGTCTGGACCAGTTTCGAATCGACGCTATAAATTATCCCGGTAGCAGGACTATCACGCGAAACCTACGCGAACCCACCTGAAAATGTGATAGCCTGCCCCGGCCCCTACCTACTTACAGTCTAATCGTAAACATTCACACACCAGAGAGTATGCTACCTACCTACCTAGCCCTATATTTAAAAATAAATTCGCAAGACAGATTCTCACCAACACACAACACTCCACGGTTCTCAAGCATGCGCCCGCGTGCAAATTCTAGAGAGGACATCCCGGGACGCCTCCGACACCCGAACGTGATATTCAACTTGCACACTCTAATGTACGTACCATTTTCCTGAAATCGACTGGCAAAGGCTAGCATCCATTGCGAGAATAGAAAAATTGTTTAAGCAATATACGTATACTTGGTACACTTTATATCGATTACGCGTTAATTTTCTCGTCTGATAGCGAGATACTCTAAACCGGTACATATTCCATGGAAATTTTATTATAAACATTGTATAAAGCAAGGGAATATGTACGATCGATACCGGAAATTGTGCGAAATTGTTCCACGGAACAATTACAGATGAAATGTTAATTCATAGAAATTTAAACGACGCAATTCCACTGCCTAACCACACACACACACATAAGTGGAAAATACGTCGTGCATGGTAAGCTAACGCATTGCCAGTCGCATAGACATGTTATTATTATATGAAATCAAGTCATCGTTCCCCGTTGCTCTCGCCCAACCAAGTAGCACCTGGGCACGTGAAAGGGTTCGAGCAACGAACACGGAATAATTATCCTGAAAATCCTAACTAAAATAATTATTACTTTTTGCTCTTCTAACGGGCTACTTCTCTTTTATTCTTTTTCATTTCATTTTGCAATAAAAGTGACTCGACTTTGTATTAATAAAAATTGAAAATCAAAGATTGACTATTTATTAATATTGTAGAATTTAGTTATTAAGACTCTAAGCAAGACTCTGCAATTAGATAAATGACTCTATGTATTGAATAACCCTCGGGCGATCCCGTCGTCAAAGTCAATATAAGACATAACATAAGTGTAACAAACATGTCACTTTGACGCAGAAACCTACCCGTCGCGAAACGCCTTGTTGTACATGATCTGTAATATCATTTTTTTCAGTGTATCAAAATACACTACTTCATTTTTATTTATGTCTTAGAGCAACGTGGTAGTACGTATTTCTGATATAATTCAGTACAAACTGTTAATCTAGAATTGCATATTCTCAAGTAAACTGATATATTATATACTGTATTCAAATAGTAAATAAATTTAAGTTATATTCATTTAGTTATTTGTCTACAAATGACGGTATAACTGTTGAAAATAATAATTAACAGACTAATGGGTGAAATAAAATTTTATTAAATACTAATTAACATAAAAATTAACTCTAATACCAAAGGTGTCCAAATGCCGCCCACGAGTTACAAGCAATTACAAGCTTCCCCTCGTAGGTTTCCCCAACTACCGACCTCAGATTGACTCGAGCGAGTCAATCCAAGTCCCATAATCAGGGTACCTCCGGAGGGAAAGAATGCTGCTCGCAAGAGTAGATGGACACCTCTGGGCCTGCCCTTTTTTAAAGGACAGAATATAAATACTCATTCCTTCTGAGTATATACGTCGACCATACAAATATGTTTGTAGAACACTATACATGCTGGTGAAACACAGTAGTACCTTCCCTGCATTTAACGCTCACACTCCATTAAAGTGGACGTGAGTACACGCCAGTACGTCTCGGTACTCTACCCGTGTACGCAACCGTATGCGTTCTTTGCCATTGGCAACGAAAACACCGGCCACGATAACTGGAAATCACAATGCACTGTTCAATGGTCATACATGCACAACGTGTTAAATTGTTCCATAACACGCGGTTTTTCACTAGGTCGTGCATATCGATGCACAGGTGACATAACTTAATACGTCTTCTTTTTATGCACCGATACTTTATCGCGATTCCCAGTACACGTGTTCCATTATTTCATGGAACTTGCAAATACGAATGATACCTTTGTGTCTCGCGACACTGGTTCCGGGATTGAAACGTGCTGTCGCGTCTCGTGGTATTGCGCTAACTGCTATAACATGCCTATCAAAGAAGGCACCACCACGTTTTCCCCTCTATTTTAAACATACCGGTGTGGTTTCTGTTCTTTCTACTCTATATTCGAATCTACGGTTGATATTTATTTCACACGTTAACAAGTTGATTATTATTCTTTTAATCAGCTGACCGTTATTTATAGACCATTGTGAATATATTGTATTTTCTATGTTCTGCAATTTTCCTTACGTAGATCGTATTTCGTTCTACATTCATAAATGATACCAAACGACTGTATTAAAATGACTATACTGAAATTATTGCACATATCATCATCAGTGAAAATCATTTCTAGTGAAATAAATAACATACTACCACGTTCTCAATATATACTCAATTAATAAAAAAATAACAACTATTTAAACAATAGAATGATCTCTATTGAAATATCCAAGATTAATATCTCATGTTAAATTGAACACTTAAAGAAAGTACATCATAACCAATGTGATTTCATCTGTATGATGTTCGCCTTTAAGCCGAACATTAAATATTCAACTCATACTCTTTTAATACAAAATAGTTATGAATTATGTTACTAATAATAAACGCGGCGTACAAGAAGACCTTAACCTAACTAAGAAACATAACAGATCATATATTACTCGCGGATATGCAATCGTACGATTGCATATCCGTTTTCACTGTACTCGCCAAAAGCACGTATACAACCAGTCGCCCGTGCCGTTTCGGACCAATCGTCCTACGACATGATTGGGGACTGGAGGAATAAAAACATTCACTCACCCGATGACTGAAGAGCTTCCTTTAATATTCTCTCTCAACGAATCTTGAAAAATGGTGCAGCATCGCCCAAGGACATCCTCTGCAGTGTTTCTTTATGCAGCATCTGATAAATCTGAAACAAAGGAACAGAACACGTAATAACCTCTTCTCAAAACTCTTACTGTTTCAGTTGAACAGTGTAAGTAATAAAATATAAGGATACTTACAATCTCTATTTGTAGAGCTTCGCCCAAAAATCCACTTCAGTGATGCACTGACTCTACTTTCGCGAACGAGTACTTTCAAGTAGAAAAAAAATGAAAATAAAAAACTATCGCGACCGAAAATCTCAACCGGCGAACAAATGATTCTACTTTCGCGACACACAAAGCAAAGAGTGTCCCGAAACTCTGAAAATAATTTGAGATTGTACGCGACAAGCACTGACTCTAGTTCCGCGAAGACCATAAGACATCACCGGTGAGATCCTAATCGGCGCCAGTTCGCTCCGCATAAACAGAAAAAACTTCGATGTAAACAAACACTGACTCGACTCGACCGCCTTGCACGCGGCCACCAAATACTGTGGAAAAAAAAGGGGGGAAAGAAATACAATACGGCGCACGTGCACCGGCTTAGCCCTTTTATTTTTATATTTTACCAAGTGTTTTTATCATGATAATACTGTCATTCGACGATAAATATTCAAATATGAATTTAACTACGCAAAGGTACCATAATTAAAAAATATTCCAAAATAATTCTGCATTGTTTCAATATATTATATTCATTACTGATATATATTTGTTATTAATATATTATATTGAAGACATTTGTCGTTAAAGTTTAAGAATGTTCGTTATTTCTGTCTACATCGCGTACCGAATTTTATAAATATTGAGAAAATCGTTGCAAGGATTAAAGCTTCGTTATTTACTTAAGCTTCGATGAGCATCGTAAACTACGCAGCTTCTATATGTATAATTAAACTTACACCCGAAACCGTATATAAATACAAATACGATGACATCGTAATGATAAACTCGAAAAATTATTAAAAATTAAACGATTTCGCGACCGAGATCCAGTAAACTATGAGTATTTCGAATTGAAACTTCTGGAACATTCCCGTTTAAATTTCCTAATGGTCAAACAAGAAGCCATATTGAATGTTTCAATTGCGTTTGAACGCGAAATATTTCTCCAAAAAATTCTTGTTTGCTTTCAGCACAGTTAATCAGAAAATCGCGATCAAGTTTACGGTCAAAACAGTAAAAGTGTACTAAAATAAAAATATCTAGTGAAATATTAACTATTTTGTTGTAATACATCACCAGAATTCACCAATTTCTTACCAAATTGCGTCTAATGGAATTGGCATCGTTGGCGCGTTCTTTCTAGCCGGAATTCTGGAACAGAAAATAAACGTTAATACCAAGTAATTATACTAAATTAACAATGACTGAGTCACAACGAAACAATTATTGACTCAAAGAGTATCGCTAAAGATTGCAAATTAAACAAAAACTGCGTAAATACTAATTGGTACTGGGAGAGAACAGAAATCATGAAACCAGTTCACTTTATCCAGCAATACCGAGTTAATTTACGATTATTTGCATTGAATTGAATAGATACTAAACAAATGTAACGATAGAGTGGTAATGTAGATATTAATAGCATAAATAATTTAAAGTGAAAAGTAATAATACTTACTTCGCCACGAGCGAGATCACTACACGTCTAATCAGTCCAGCTTCCCTGAGACGAATGACCGTTAGGCTGGCTGACTGGCTGTCATTGGTTGATTCGGTTATGTATAAGGCCTGTGATTGGTGCGTCGGTTGGTGAAGAACGTGAGGATTGGTCGCTTTCCTGCTTGCTCAACTTTCTATTTGAACGAAATAGAATATTTACCGCCGAATTATATTTCAATATATTTTCTTATATGCACCCGAGATTAATTCAGGAGGGAATGACTATCATGAAAGGGAAACAAAGAGACACACACTATCCCCGAAAATGTGATATTCCACTTCCTAATAGATCGAAAGTATTAATTTTACTCTCGTCTTCTCGAAGTTTTCAATCCTCCAATGGTTCTCTAACGCCATCTATGATAAATATATCCTGTCAATTTGACAATGATGCCAAAGTTTATGAAATACAATACAATAGATACTACCAGTTAAATAATAGATCAAAACTATTTTTCATGAAGAAAGCTTGACTAGCTAAGCTCTAGTTGGGTCGAAGTTCATTGTTTAATTACTTCCTCACCAATTACCAGAAGGTAATTGATTGTGCGTGTTAGGATTCTTATATCACGTTATCAGATAAAAAAAATATAAAAACGAATAAAAAGGGAACGTGGGAAACGTAACATTACTAAAATCTTCATTAACGATGAAATTTAGAATAAGTTATCATATTTTATCAGTATTACAATATTCATCTTTTAAACCGCAGCATCGGATATTTTTATTCCCACCAAATCATATTGGATACACGTGTTTTGAATGGAATATATAATGCTCCATTTGTGCTAATAATACTCAGAATTCATGCTTTATCAGTAACGTCGGGTATTGGCACTGAAATGGTAAGGAGTTATGTAACCCTCCGAACGTGGGACAAAAAAGAGTATTGGATGATAGGTCTATTCTATACCTAGTCGGTGATTATACCATGTGGCATTTATTAAATCAAAAACTACAGCTTCTTTCTTGTTAACTGTGACTTATAACTTTTTTCCTCCTTTTCCACTATCGTCTGCGATGTGCAAGCAAGAGAGAGTTACTCTACCGCTACTTTCGTCCTTCGGTCTTGACTTTAGCCCTACCATAAGACCGCGCAGTCTATTATATATGTATGTCTATGGCGGGTACCCGAGATTTCGAATTGGTGTGAATGGGCTGTCGTTTGATTTTCTTGTGCCGGGGGGGTCGAGTAGGTGTATTCAAACTTCGAATAATAAACAAAAGCGAATAAATTGCAAAAATGAGTAATTCAACTATTTCCGATCAATCGCTCATGGACAAGTCTATGCGAAGTGTCTTCGGTAAGAAACGTTGTTTGCTGTACATTTATTGTTTTATTAATAAATTACGTTTTATAACCTACAAATACTCTTAATCTGGTTTTTTAACAGTCGGGAATATCCCGTACGAGGCCACAGAGGAGAATTTGAAGGATATTTTCAGTGAAGTTGGACCAGTGCTTTCTTTCAAGTAAATCTATTTTATGTCTACACATTGCAATTTACTGTAAATATTTTTTATCTGATAATCATGCTTGTCACATTATTAAGAGATAATTTTATCAAAAATACGGGGTACTATAAACACATTTTTAGTAAATAATTCGTTTCTACATAAATCAAAGTATCTGATCCAAATTATTTTTACTCATCTTCAATTGGTGGTTTTATATTTAACAACAAAAAATTGTTTGGTTAACATAGTACAGCTATCAATAAAGTTCACTGTAACCTTAACTCGTGTGATTTTAATTTGTTTCAAAAAGATTGGTCTTCGATCGAGAAACTGGAAAGCCTAAGGGATATGGCTTTTGTGAATATAAAGACCAAGAGACAGCGCTTAGTGCTATGAGAAATTTGAACGGTTATGAAATTGGTGGAAGAACACTACGTGTCGACAATGCATGCACAGAGAAAAGTCGGATGGAGATGCAAAGTCTTCTTCAAGGGCAAAACACTGAAAATCCATATGGGGAGGCAGTGCAAGCCGATAAAGCTCCAGAAGCTATAAGCAAAGCCGTTGCATCTCTGCCACCAGAGCAGATGTTCGAACTCATGAAACAAATGAAGCTTTGTGTACAAAACAATCCAAATGAGGCACGCCAAATGCTGCTTCAAAACCCTCAACTGGCATATGCATTGCTGCAAGCACAGGTAGTGATGAGAATAGTGGACCCTCATACAGCTGTTAATATGTTACATAAAGCAAATCCAATTCCAAGTGTATTAACACCTGCTGAAAAACCAGCTGCTCATCCTATTGTACCAAGAATAGAAGAACCATGGGCTCCTTCACGACCAGCAGCAGTGACAAATCCTCCTGCCCCAATTTTTGCAGGTAAGAATAGGAGGCATAGATATTATGTAAGATATTTAAAATTCAAGCTCTTATTTTATTTTTTATACTACCACAGGACAAGATGTCGATTTACGTACATTAGATAGACAAATGGATCCACGTTTAGCTAGAATGGATCAAGATCTAAGAGGATCCCAAGTACAACCAACACCTGTTAGTGCGCCTCCACCTGTAGTTGCTAGTACTGATCTTAGAGGCCTAACTACATTTAATATACCAGACAAGTTAGTATCAATTTTATAATGTTCATTACAATTCATTAGATAATATTACAATTAAAAAATAAATCGTATTTTACAGCACTCTTCCTGTTGAAGGAGTTGAGAGGTTTCATAATTACTTCAAATATTTTCAAATCATTGTACTTAACCCTTTGACTGCGGCGCACTCTCGCACGGAACCATCAATATATACGGACTGATATGCGCATATCAGTCGCTAAAAAAAAATCTAAATTCTATGTTAGATCAGTTTAGTAAAACAGTAAATATGTAATAGTAAGACAAATTTAGAGGACGTATGTATACGCCTTTCGCATATATTGATAAATCTGTGAGGGCGTATATACACGCCTTTCGTATGTATTGATAAATCTGTGAGGGCGTATATATACGCCTTTCGTAGTCAAAGGGTTAAGGTTTTTTTAAATTATGTTCTTTTTCAGCTTTTGTCGTGATCCAAGAACGGATAGATTCGGTAGGGATCCAAGGGATCCTAGAGACCCGAGAATGCCTCTTGATCCTAGAATTACAAAAGCGAATCGTACGTTTTCAAACTACCAGTATATGAGTTTATTATGTTCAGAATTAATTATTTGATTTTTATTTTGCGACCAGTAATCTAAAAAATGACAACCAAATTATCATTTAGCCTCCAATTTTTCAGCGCCAACACCAGTTGCTCCACCGGTAATACCAAGACCTGTTGCTGCGCCTACTGTTCAATCTTCAAGTGTTGGAGCAGCAAATGTTGCGGCTGTTGCTAGTTCACTTACGACCGCCACTACATCCGCAACATCCCGACTCATGGCAGGTATGCCTTCTGCAGGAAATATACCCAGTGGAGCATCAGATCAGGAAAAGGTATGGATTAACATATCACGTCTGTATGTATAATATATTAGTCAGTTTTATATAAAAATATAACAAATATTACGTAGTTCTATAAGCATGATATTTGAATGAACATAAAAGTAAATAAGTAATCTATCTTGTTACAGGCGGCCTTGATAATGCAAGTGCTGCAATTATCTGACGAACAAATAGCTATGCTACCACCTGAACAGAGACAAAGTATTTTAGTACTTAAAGAACAAATCGCTAAAAGCACGCAACGTTAATGTGTAATCCCATTGTCAATTTATAAATTTTTTAAAGTAACTGCTGCTTTCTATCAGCATATACAAGTAATAAACCAAAAACTTAGTAATACCACAATATTACAATTGTACATGGGAATCAATTTGACACTAATGTAATATCATGAACATTAAAATAATAAACTATTGACTAATATTTTTAAGTGATGCTGTTTGACAATCTTTTATTCGTTTAAAAATGCCTTCTTGGATGAGTGAACCATAAATAAGTTCTTCACGATCCTCGTTTTCATACAATTCAATATACATGAAGTCATTATCAATTTTCTGAAACAATCAATTTTAATAATTAGAACATGGTAAATATACATATATCGCATGGAAGAACAATGGATGATGCAATGCATATATTTACTTACTTTAATTGTAGCTACAACACGTCTATTGTACATTTCTTTTAATCGGGGTAACAGAGAATCCTTATTTGCTGAGGAAGCGACCTCTATGTTCCATAATTTACATTTAATTGCTAAAACTGGTACGTCCATCCATTCTTTTTTTAAGGCATGTAATTCGCATCTTTTATGTAAGTACAAAAGACAGAATTAATAATATAATACTGAATTAAGTTGTTTATAGTTTCTTTATACAATGTCTAACTTTAAAATTTAATTAATCTTAAACATACCGATGTTCCAAAAGCATTTTTAAGCAGATTAGCGTTAACTATTTTATGGAAGTACCACTTACTGTTCAGTGTTTACTGTTCTGTATTCATCGTTTCCATAGTCCACGTATAACAATTTAATTTCAACGTCAGTTGTACCAGCAGCAGGTTCAGTCTCGACAATCAAACATCTGTACCATACACCGTCACTGAACTTCGCACAACATGGCGTGTCTGTACAAAAATTAGATTCACTGAACCTTATATGTAATTACATGAACATATAATTACATAAATAAATTGTTTACGAAATTAGTTTGTCATTAGAGATAGTTTTATACTTTTGTTAATGAATAATACTCACTGGGAGCAATGTATGTAATCATGGGTTGCTTACAAGCGTTTTCTTGCAAATCACTCATTAGAAGCTGATACTGTTCATAGTATGTAGTCAAAGTCTAAAAAAGAAAGAGTATCAGATATATTATACCTAGTTAGAAAACTATAAAGCAAGTAATTAAAAAATAAGTAAAAAATCTTTTATTGTATACCGTTGAGTGTGCATTTTCCTTCAACTGAGCATGGAACTTTGTAGCAGTAATACTGCAGCATAGTTCTATTTCGATGTATTCTATATCTTGGGGAATATCGATTACTTTATAATTGATTGAAAGATTCTCCTCAGAAACAATGTGAGGCGTAGATGTAACTATGTCAGTTTTGCTTTTACACCAGGAAAAATTTTCTTCGTGATCAGTCATAGCACAGCTACCACTTTCATTCAGCGCATTCGTGTGTTGCATTAACACAGAATATCCACTGATAACTTCGTCTTTTGCCACATTTTCTATTTCTTCGTCTGAATAAATGAATTTTGAGTTTTCAATAATTACATCCGGCGTGTCTGTCGTGGATGTGTCCCTTCCTGACAAATTGTTTTCGATTTCCAGTTTAATATTCATATTCCACTCGTTGACTAGAAATGTAATTAAATCCATTGTCTGACTACAATGTTCATTTGGGAATATTGTTACAGAAATCTGAAAATATGTACGTAAACAAAAGGATCAGAATATTTTTTAATGATTAAATAATTTTATAAATTTGTCTGATACATATATTCACAGTTAGTTAAAGAAACTGTTTAACCAAGCGTAATAAGAACCGTGTAATAATTATTCGCTGTAGCGCCACACATTTACGAAAGAACTTTTTAATCGTCTTTTATGCGATTACAAAAGCAAATATATACTACTTTCGTAAATAAATTGAGTATTAAATTAATAATTGTTAATTGTTGTTGTTCTCAAAGTATTTTATTAACTTAAAAGAATACTTACAACATAGAACAAATCAGTTGCATCTAAGATCGACACTTCGCAATTCTTATCAATAAGAAGACCATGTATTTTATCTAAATCTTCCGTTGTCCATTTTCCAGTTTTGTTATTCTGCCAGAAACATCAATTTAAAAAATGTTAATGAATTTTAGTTGAGTATATGTACATATAGTGTGTTTTATATAATACACACGTTACTGCATAAACAGTGGATTGAAATCACATAAAACGTTTACCGGATTTAGTCCGTAAATTAAACATTTAGTACATTGTATTGGTATGTTTTCTAAGATCACTTTCTTCTTCAAAGTACCAATGGAGCACTCTTCAACATTACCATAATCGACAAATTCCACCTATGATATAAAAGTTCGTAACATCAAAACGGATTGTGCGAAGATTATTGTATGTTTAGAGGACAATTAAAAATGTTTACCTCAAATATATCATTTCCCAAAACTTTCACTACTTTTCCCCGGTACCATTTTTGATTTGCATGATACTGAGCGATGCACATGTCTCCCGCAGCCCATACAATATCGCATGACTCGACTGCACAATTATTGTATAGATCTTGCAGTTTTGTTTCTATGCTATGTAGTGTTTTGGTATCTGAGAAAAATAGAAATGATCACGACATATTATATATTTATATAAGTACTAACTATAACTGTATTACCAGTATAATCATTTATCGTGAAATCATTAAGGTATACGTACTTTGTTCTATGGAGTGCAGATATAAAAAACCATCATGGTCCAAATATGTAGGTACAGCAGAAAACACATCTTTTAGTATTGGCTCCGCTGGTAACCACGACGATAACTTTGGTAACGTTGGCATGTTGTCAAATATTTCTTCCGAACTGTATTCTTCACTATCGGAATTCGAATTCGAATATTCCAACAATATTTTTGAATCCATATTAATGCCTGCTTCGGCAACAGCACCATCCCCATTGTTTATTTTAAACCATTTTACGTTTGATTCGCTTTTCAACAGTCTTTCTGATTTTTTTATGGCAAGCCGCTTTAGCTCAACTGCTACGATTTTATCACGTTTCTTCGCATATCTAAGAGTTTTTAGAAATATTAAAGATTTAAAATACAAGAAAGTGAATGGGAATATAATATTCGTTTTAGGGATTTTGCTAACTGTTACGTACTCTTTTACAGGTAAAGCAAGACCCTTGTCAACCAACATTCTATTAACAGAATTAATTTCTATTCTGGTCGGTGCTAGTGGACCGTCCATCTTCTTCTGTTTTATCCAAAGCTCCACTGGAATCGCGGAATTCTCCACGTCTTCATCTTCCTACATGATAAAAACAACGTAAATCAATTATATAAAACAAGATTGTGCTGTTTCAATTAAAAGAAACTAAAGTTCTAGAATATTACTAAATAATAGAAATTATAAATACTGAAAGTATTTAAAGAACTGAAGTGATACCGAATAATATAAATACTGAGAAATCAAAATTTGATTATCATACAGTGAGAAATGCTTACAAGCTTTGATATATAAAATCTGCAGTTTTGATTCTTGTCTATAATTTCATGTAATGCCTGGCAAGACGACGACGGCCAACTTGATGATCCTCCGCACGGTAATATGCCGGATAATTTGATTTTAAAAACGGAAGTGGGTATTTTGAAAAACGGTGGATACAATGCTTGTATGTCATTTATCGATACAGTTTCCTCGACTCCAATGTCGTATAAAAATACGACTACATTGCCCTTCGTGTTTATCTCGACGATTTTACCTCGGTAATACATGCTGTTATTCGCTGAATAGACTGCGCAAACAGCATCCATGTTCCAGACTTCCTGTTTCGTGGAACGATACTTGTTATAAAATTCTTGTATCTGTTTCATCATTTCTTCGATGCCTGTCTGTTCGCACATGGCATCGGACACGTAAATACAGTCCGGAGACCGGACTTGGTGGACCAGAACATGCACTTTAAACGGATCCTCAGTTTCTTCCGATGTGCTTCTTGTACTTGTATTTAATATTGTATGCGATTCTGCAGACGCAATACGTTCCACCTGTTCTATTGGTTCTTCCGACTCTGTTGGCTCTTTCATATTATTAATAGCTCTTCTATGTTTCTGTCTTCTATTCCGACTCTTTCCTCCCGTGTTCGCATTACGGGGACTAGTACACCACAGAAACAAATATATTATTACTGATATGGTATTATAAATGACACAAAAATGAAATAAATATATATATTTACCTTGGTCTTGTGTTCAGTGCAAAACCATTCTTTATTAATAAATAGGCAACATTAGTTTTGTCATGCCTATACATAACGACATTATACGTATCGCCAGACTTGTCGAAAGCGACAATTTTATAAGGCTTTGTTGAATGCATGAGGCATTTCTTTAGAAATTCAATTGCCTCTAATCGCCATTGATCCCAGTTCCCGTACGGGGGTTTGATGTTCCTCAACGAGACTCTTATTGCCTGATGTAAACAGGAAATATTGGCAATTAGATGAATAAATAAAAGAAACATGGTCATGAATGAAAACGATTAGATTTAGACTGAGAAAGAAATTCAAGGATAGAAGATGTATAAAAGTGAATGCAAAAGTATTTAGAACAGGTGTCGATGCATGTGGTAAGGATGTGTATAAATAACGAAGAATGTGAAATTTATTGGTGATTGAAAACAATGTGCTTTCTTATAATCATATATCCATTAATTAACGAGAGAACTCACCTGAGTTTTGCAACTCATATACTTCTTTGGCAGGGCTCTTATTGCATTATAATTAAACATTAGCGTGTATCCTAAGTCAACGAAAAAAACTTGCACTGAGATTTCAGTAACGTCAGTTATTATACCTCTGTGCCAACGTTTATCAACGCCAGGCGCTGCACACGGTAGATCTGTAGGAAAATTAATACGCATAATTGGTATGAATCTTTTTAAACTAACGCTTATGTTAATCCTTGCGGAATAGGATCTATGCGTTTAATGTAGGTTTACGCGTAAAGTCCCATTTCAGATATATTACCTTTATGAGGCACAGGAATGTATTCAGTGGAAGATAAATTGTGCTCGTAGGTTTCCGTCAGCTCACGTATCATTTTGCAATGGTACGACCTATTTGAGTGGATCTGTGTAACATAAATATCCCTTTACATACATCTACCAGCCATACTTGTCTCAGACTTAAACATTTCTTTTCTAAAAGTATACACTTGACTAAAGAATATTAGTTAAGACATTAAGACTTTATCGGTTAGCTTTCTACAGAATAAAGAGTTACATTAAGTAAACCATTTGAAACCAATACAATCGTCTTACTTTCTGAACGTATATGCAATCAGGAGATTCAACGAACAAAACTTCAACATCTATATAGCTTTCTAACTCGAGCTGTTCCTTGTAATACTTTGTCGTGGAATCAGGATTCATTCTCTGCGAGGAGAAAATTCATAATATACTTTAATGGTTTCGAATGAACAAAATGTGGATGATTACAACTAATGCGCAATTTACCATCAATGTATTTGATGAAACGCAGGTTGCGTATTTCATGTAGGTTAACGAGTCCTTTACAGGTATTAATCCTGAGTCTTTCGAGGACACGGCGCAGAGGTCAACGTAAAAAGTGTCACCGGTTCTCATCATTACACACATCGAGACCATGGTGTTTCTGTAACAGTAATTCGTCTGTGAAAATTTAGAGAACTTCCCGATTACGGTGCCTGAGACTTCAGAAGCACATATAGAATAAAATCAACTTCTATTAGCACTGATAGAAATCAGGGGAACGAAAAACATTCCGTTATACCAATTGTTGTACCGAGCATAAATCTCTATTACCTATGAGTTAATCGATAACTTCTTTCACAGGTAAGAAAAATTCATGTCACCTGCCCTCGATCAAATAGCAAATAAATGAAATCTATTCAACATAATAACGCAATAGACATCGTATGCCCATTGTAAATTAACAACAAAAGAAAGAAATTTAAAAAGAAAGAATGGAAGAAATTTGTCACCAGATTTCATGCATTTATGCATATAGTATAGACGATTCTTTAGATAACTATAAATACAGTGAACCGTTAAATAAAGTTTAATTAGGTTTTTATTTTATATGTAACTTGACAGATTCTGTCGCAGAGTAAACAATGTTTCTTTAATTCCAGTTTCTGTAAGTCTATTATATGGCTCTCAATCTAATATTTCTTAAAACAAATAAATAAAGAATAATTGTAACATTAATAACCGAGTGAAGCGATATCAACGGTAGCAATGAATAATAATAGAATGCTTTAATATTCTGGTTACACGTTTAACGAAAAAATGAAAACAATATTAATTACAATTTTCTAGTTGACACCCAGATTAGTTAAGTTGCCTATTGTTAATTACAATTTAACTTCAAAGTGTCCCGAACAAGAAAGATCTCTACGCATCACCCAGTTTCATTCTTTCTACTCCGATGTTCCCTGTGAATCGAAAACTTACGTGCACACCAGTTTTTTGAACGCCTCAGTAGCATCGGGATGCCATGCACCACCGTTCGGGACAACATCGAATAATGTGCACCTAAGGGCCATTCCCGAATGCATCGAGAAAGTTGGTATAATGTTTCGCATTCTGGATAACGGTACGTTCTCTTCGTTCATTCCGTAATCCACAAAGAACACGGTGTACCTCTCGTCCTTGTTAGGATCGGTTCTTTTATTGACAACACGTGCACGGTACCAATTTCGGTCTCTGGAACACTGCACGACATACGAACCATCTACGAAGCAACATTAATAATCTTAAACTAAACATTCCTACAAATATTCCGAAAATATTCCCACGTGATTTTGTGCAGCTTCAATGCAATGAATAATAAATGAAGATTTTCCATACTTAACGTCACTTCTGTGGGTATAATGCCCGATGTGTTGGCCAGCATCGCCAACTCTTTGGTGAGCTCCGCTAATTTATTCTGGTGCTGTATCAATTGTACATAAAAACATGATGGATCGATGACGTGAGTGACGCGGACCATCTCAGAGACACCTTAAAATCGATAAAATTCATGAGAAACACGCCTACAGTAAGTAAACGTATATCTGGACCCCAGAGCCAGAGTGTATTAAATCCACTTTTTTCAAAAATAACGTTTTACATGTTTTCCGTATCAAATATTTCACTCTTTTCGACGGTAAAATTTATTTCGTTCTAAGTCGTCTAGTTATTAATACAATAGTCTAAAAGTGATATTAAGTTTAAATTTCGTTCCGAGTCAAAAGAGGGTGAAATCCATCACACAGGGGAATTAAAGCAAAGTTTACCATTTCTACATACAGAGACTTGCCCTAAATCCATTCAATAATTGAAAGATGGCAATTGTTTCTCGTTCAATTCTTACCGAACGGTTAAAAAATTACAAGGCTTTCGCTCCTTTGACTTGCTCTTCTCTAAAGTATGAAAAGTGTGACTTATTCTGGTTCTGGGGTCCAGATATACTTCTTGTCATAATTGAGAATAACTTCGTAATTTTTATTTGTCCACCCGCAATATACAACTCGAAGTTTCATTGTTAAAATCATTCTTTCAGAATATTGATTAAAATTATCTGTTCCCTAGGTCATCGATGAAAATTTGCTCGTTCGTTAAAGACTAAATTAATGGGATCGCGTAGGGACCTAAAAGTGTTCTTCTTAACGGGTTATAATTTTAGTTGAGCATTTTTACATACCCACAGAAGGATGATTATCGTTAGTTCGCGGCGCGATGGCCACCGCCGACGTCGCTTTCATTCCTGCGGACTTATCTCGCAATCCTGCAATAGTGACGTAAAAAAAAAAAACGGGGAATTAATAATTCGTCGTCAAGATAAACCCAGATAGTACATGACGCCTTGAAGACGGCCATTTTACGGCTATTTTAGGTCTAAGGCGTCTTTAAGCCGTCTTCAAGGCGTCATGCGCTATCTGGGAATTGTTCGGCGGCTTTTACGCATTTCATTATACGTGTAGCCGGGATTTCTAATCGTACACGTATAAAAATTAATATTACTCAGAATGCTGATCTCCTCCGTGAGCGGCTCGATCTCGTAATCGTCCGGCAACAATTCCGTTCGTTGCAAACTGAAATTGGACGCTGCTGGCACGTGTATGGTACAGTGCTTCTCCAGAGTGTTCACGATGGTCTGGTCGATATTGAATCTGCGAACAGATTTTTTTCTCCAGATCGAAAATCCACATCGAAGATCCCACGATACTTACGCGATAAACGATAATCAATATAATAATTTACTTGCTAATTAATCGATCCTCAGAACCGATTTCAATGACCTTGAAATATGTTCTCAGGGCCATTATTCTGAATAACTTTTCCCTGTACATATAATAGGCGGTCTCTCTTAGTTTCCAAGATATTCGCGAAAAACTGCTCCTACCGGTGCATTGAATTTCGTCTACACGTATATGTTCATGGCAATGTGGGGTGACCGCTTACGTACTGTTTCCATAAACACATCACATCAGCTGGCAAACAACGGTGGAACTTAAAAATCACACTTGACCGATTTCAGTGATTTTGAATATTCAAATCAGTATGTTTGGAACAGTATGTTTTTTTTTGTTTGTTTTTTAACTAGCTCTGACTTACTCAAATCAGCATAATGCTTCGAACAATATTTTTTTGTTTTTAACTAGTTCTAACTTGAGTAGTCAAGTCAGTACAGTGCTTTGAAGAGTATTTTTAGTTTTTCGCGAATATCTCGAAACGTAAATGGAACGCAATTCGGAGCTCTAACCGAACGAAAATCGAATGTCAGCGTGATTCTGCCAGAAATGAAGCGATAAATCAAAGATGGCGCCCGTGGCTGAAGGAAATCGTCATTTTCAGACAATATTTCTCGTATTCGGATTGTACCGTGTTCGTTTAATGTTAATGTGAGTCGCGATAACGGCTTATGGGATCCTCATCGAAAAGCTAATAAATCGAACATTTATCGTGGAAATATGATTTATCTTCGTTAAACGATATACTGTTTGCTCTGGTTTACTGAATACGCGGTCGGGACGTTTTTGTTTAAAAAATTTAAAAAAAAAAAAAAAAAGAGAAAGAAAGAACAAACGAAAAAGAGGTGAAAACATTTCAAAGCTGTTTCGTAACGTGAATAGTAGGCACATTTCACTTTAATTAATTACTCCAGCATCTTCCTCTTTCTCTCCCCATCTCGCTCATTCACTTTTCGTTTGGACATCTGTAAGCTGCTTACGGATATAAACGACAGAGGATTTGTCTGACTCTGTACCATCGTCGGTGCCGGGGAAAATAAATTGTTCAATACGCACTGGAGATTTTGATTTATCAAAAGCTTTAGTTTTTACTGCGCCGAAATACTCTGCGTTTTCCCGTACGCTTCGAGGCCTTTCGGCTTTTCGCCCGCCATATTGTTTTTCGACCAGGTGTAACCGATGATTCCGCGACAGTTCGCGATAAACAATACGCATCGTTGCGTTACCGATGTCATATGGAATTATCAATACATTTTGTTTATTGATTCGTGCGACATGGTGACTGCGATCAAATTATCGATATTATATTAAAACTAGAGTGATTTACATTAAGAGCTTTTGAAATTTAGTTCAAAAAGTTTGAGTTTCAATAAAGACTGTTTTAGGAAAATTATAAAATTATTCGTCGGAACACCAGAATTGTTTTATTTTGCCTGCCACGGACAATGTAGTGTAATTGAAATTGCGAGGTACAAAGACATACGTGTTTGAAGTACACCTGAACACCTGGGACATTTCCACGGTTATTAAACGAAACTCTAGTACCATCTTTAAATTAGCGTAAATAAAAAATTGCACAAGAACATAATTTCATTTGGTAAAATGTAAAACGAGAAGATAGTGGTAATGCCAGTTATCTGCATTTTCTGCAGTACACGCTGCCTCTACATTTCCCGACAGTAATTATATCAATTCTGCTTATAAAAGTTGTGGGTGAGTGTTCTCGACAATATTTATCGAAATATCACTCGTACTTCAATTGTACGTTGAAGTTGCCCAAAGGAAAGTAAAAGGAATACACACCGCGCAACTGGTTAATAACTTTATTATAAAATGAGTGTGCCAATTATAAACTGTTCAAGAGAATCGTATCGAACTGATACGTCCGGTGGTTGACGTGAATCTCTCGTTCACGACGCAGGAAAATTCGCTCCACCCGTAGGAAACTAAAAGGTGGGGCATTGGGCCCTACCAACGCAAATGCTAAGACGCTTTCCCAGCCCACGCAACGCCTACAAAACCCAAAAGAGGGGATGCGCCAGACAACTTGGAGTCAGAGGAATAACAAGAGTAGCGCCAGGATGGCTACACAGAAGACCCTTGGTTCTCCAATATCGAACTCCGGGCCTTACGCTATGCATGGCTAGGTTTACGTTATGTCAAGTGCCATCGATAACGGTACGGTCAGGACAACTTTCCCAGGAAATCTCCTGCTGTACTTGAGTCTTCAACAATAAATTTAAGCAAAAGGCACCAGTTGACTCTCAAAATAACATTTCTTAAATTACGATGGCCTAAACATCAGCTCGTCTCAACAAAAGTAGTTCCCAGTTCCTTGCCGTAGTAACAAACAATTTCGAAGATGTTAGTTTCAATTAAGGATCTCGAGGATCCCCATGTTTGTTGCGCCCTTTTACTGAAGTGCGGATCAATGTTAATTCATAAACGCTAATATTAAATAATTATTGCTGCAGTTGAGATGACTTACAGTATGAAATTGTTTGTTTGTCTTAATATCCTGGAATAACTATTAGTGGGTGTAATGCAAATATCGAATTTATTACAGGAGAAATTGTGTTTTTATACTTTAATATTTCAGGTATTTGCATAACAAAAAAATTATTAATTTAAACAATGTAAATAAAAAATTGATAGTTCTGTTTTAAATAAAGAAAATGTCGCTTACCTAATTTCTTTCTCGTCCGAATTAGAGGTGATTACCAAATGACAAGGGATGTCGGCTAACTTCTGCAAGTTCCGTATCACTTGCTGAATATCTATTTTGTCCAGGTTTTCTGTAATCGAACCTATCACCTAAAACAGGAGATTAGCAATAATTAACCCTTGATTTTCCGTATTTCAAATATTGTTAAAAAAATGTTCATATTCACTTTCGACAAAGATCAAGATTTAAGATTGGTATGATTCAATATATCAGCTGTACCAATAAGTAAATCGCTAGTTTCAAAATGGTGACACTACATTTTCGATTCGGAATATCTTTCTAATCATCTGTTTAGTCAAAATAGCGGGGAATGGTGTGAGAACAAATGATTAATATTATTGAATTAGGCTGGGTACTTGAATTATTTCGAAATTGATATAGAGTTTTACAAAAAATAGTGAACTACTTAATAATACATAGCCCTAGTATTTCAAAGTTGACAATTTTCCTTGAATGTAAAAGTGAATTAATTCTAATTGTACTTTCTGTTTTAAATATTTATTAACATCAGACAAGCTACTGTCAATATATGAATTAAAATTAACCGTCAAGGGAAGACTTTCGCGCGTCGCGTCAGCTCATTTCAATGACTGTTGGCTGTTCATAATAATTTCATTATGAAAATTCGTACCCGCCCCTGTCATGTACACCGACTGTAGCTCACAGGGGAAAGATTTTAAATCAGGAACGTTTTATGACACGGGGGAAATTGGCAGTGTCATCTAATTTTCCTCGAATTACCATCGTTGGTTAAATTGTATTTATCAAAAATATTCTATGTTTCTACGTGAATTTAAAAGCAATTCTACATTTTATGATTAAAAAGAAAAATAGCATAAAGAATTCATATCATTAATTCTACCCACATCCTTGCTTTCTTACTTTAGAATAAATCAAGATTCATTCTTTCAAGTAAACTTCTTTAAATGCTCGGAATTTGGGATCGACGCCAAGCACTTAACGAATCTCGGATGAGATTTTATAATAATTTCCACAAGGTACGCTTAAATTGTACTCACCACAAGCGCAGATTGCAAACGATCCTCGTGTTCCCTCAGCTGCTGCGAGATCTCGTCGATATTTTTGTTCCATGAATCGTGCCGCTTGTGGAGCGAGTCGATGATTTTTCGCTCGACATTTTGGAGAACGCCGTGCAGGTAAGCGAAATGCTGCGTAATGCTTCCTTCTAGACAGTCGGTATTCTGTGTTTCGTTCGGATACATGGCAGTCGTCTTTAATTTCTGAAACATAATGAAAAATAATCATGTGATTAAAAGAACCGATTAAAACACATACATTCATGTCCCTAAATTATCAACTTTTCTTTCTCAGAGTATAAGAAGATAACGAAATTACTCGATCGTACGTGAAATTTACAATGTTTTTCTTTTATTATCATTTTTTTTAATCCCCAGTTACAACAGACCGCAGATTTAATCTTTATAACAAATTAAATCTTTAATGAAATTTACTGCACCCTCCATTTTCTGCTTATTCCTGCGCAACCATTCATCGAAGTCTCCAAACGGCTCTATTAAATTCGTAACTGTTAAAAATTATTCCAGGAAAATTCCAATCTACATAAACATTCGTAGTTATATAGCAATTAGAAAAATGAACGATAATGCTTTGCGAAATCGCAGTCAGATGAATAAGAAAATATCCGGTTAAGATACAAAGTGACGTGTACATTTCGACAAGCAATTTGCTCCGTGACACGATTTAAGACGTTTCGATTTCTCAACAACCAGCCCGGTCGTCTGAGTCGAATGTCAATCAGAATATTGCATAATTATTCACCTATGGTAATTCATACACGTGTGTGCACGTCGTGCGGCGGTTCTGATAGTTTTATTTAAATTGCAAGAATATTCGTTGCCTATCGGATCGTCTCTGGTGCCGCGATGGACCCCGGAAATATGACATTCTATTGAATTCTTTGGCTCGTTCATGGTCCGCTGACAGTGATCTAGTAAAATCGAAGGTTCGCAGGATTCCATGTGTCGACATATCGGAGATGTCTGCTAGTCAGCCAGAATTTAACATACCAGCCATCAGTGCATGATAAGACTTCGAGTACGGCTGGGTTTATCATTTAACCCCAAATATCCTCAATGATTCACGAAGTTTTCTAGGGTATTTCTCAAAAGAAAATTTCTTTACGTCGTTAAATATGATACAGTCTGTTTATTCAAATTTATAGAAAAGATTGTAGACTTTTAAGGTGCCAAGAAAAACATTCAGAAAGTCTGGATGAATATGTAATAATGATAAGACTCCATGATCCAACGCTCGTTTGTAGCCTATGCTAATTATTAACCCCTTAATTTGTAACCATACCATAGTCCTATTAACACACTATACAAATTTAGCCACTCCAATATATCATTCATCTAAACACCAAGACTCTTTCACATACTCTGCTATCCATTATTCAAACCGTTAGCTACTGACCACTCGTCTTAGAGAAGAATTTGAATTTTTCTTCCACTATCCCTTACGTAATGGAGAATTTTTCAAATTCTATCGTTTTAGTATCACTAGTGTAAACGTTTACCACTGTTTCTACAACAGCAGTGCCAATTAGTACTAATTTTCTAGACACATAACGCCATGCATGGCAAAAACGCATTCTACTACCCGATGTTCTTAGATAACTTTTTACAGCAAGAAAATAACCGAGAAGCCCAAAGTACGATTACAGTGAAAGTACACGATAGAATCCTGGATAAAATAACGAAAACAAGAGAATAACTACCAATCAATTATGTAATAGGCTGTTACAGCTACATCTTGTAGAAAAGATAACAACTTTCTATTCAATTCAATATTATCATCACCTTCACAAAACGGTCATGTCAGCAATTTACATCGTCTCTGTTAAACCCAGTACGCTCCAGTAATCACGTTCCATTTTTTACCAATTCCTATGGCCGCCATATTGCTCCCGCGCGTTCAAAGATCCAAGAACCCAGCATGGTGGTTCGTATCCTCTAACGCCTTGGTATAAAATCCAAAGCATAACAATAAAAACAAGATACGTCTGTCGTACATGATAAAAATACATCGATGACAACAACGTTAACACTTCTCTGCCACCATCTACCATTCAAATAAAATCAGTTCTACAAGGCATACTTCAGTTGCTCTAACACGAGGCAAATTCGAAGCTACTCGATATTTCAACAATCTACATCGTCTCTGTTAAATCCAGCTCGCTCCAGTAGTCACGTTCTATTTTTTACCAATTCCTATGGTCGCCATATTGCTCCAGCGCGTTCAAGGACCGCAGGAGCCAGCATTGGTGGATCCTTCGGTCGGTCGAAGGGGAACAGCTTGGCTGGAATTAATATCAAGGTATCATCGACGTGTCATCTTGTGGCCTCCACAGTGCCAGCTGGAAGGTCGGGTTGTAACGAGGCCCCCTTGGCGGGAGCTTTCCATCGTAAAGAGGATTCCCCGCGATGAAGGGAGCAGCGAGTCTCTGGTCCCCGCGAAGGGAGAGCGGCGTCGATCGGAACGGGGCAGGGAGCAAACGTGCACAGAGGTGTGGGCCGGAGAAGCAGTCGATGCTTTAACATCGGCACACCAACGACCGAACAAACGCGCCTTTCCTCCAGTCTTTCGCGTACCGAGGACCGGTTACCATCGCGCGTCAACCGCTCTGTTAACCGTGTGGTCCGCTCCGTTCCACTAAGTCTGGGCTACGCGCGAACGAGACCGTTCCAGAAACGTAATCGCGCACGAGGATGAGGTTCGTTCGTCGGTGTTTTAGATCCTAGGCCTCCGCCCCCGCGTCTGGGAAAGTGTCTGTCATTCGAGGAGGAAAAAAAGAACACGTGTGTGGACATAGGGACAAGAAGAGGACCATGCGACTCCTCGACAGCATCTGCGTGCTGGCCTGCGTCGCGTTTCTCTTTCTCGTCGGTGAGTCGCTTATGTTGACTAGGTCGCTATTGGACAGCTGAATGTTGTTGGGTGAAAGATGAAAAAATATACATGGTAAATTGATGAGTGTTCGAAGGACTCCTGGGGAGTTACGAGGAGAGATCCCCAGGTGTAACACTGGTTTTTTTTAACGAGGTTTAGCAAGTTGGAATTCTGAAGCCAATGATGCTTGTTTTAGTCTCGTATGGCCATTAGGTTATGAAATATTTAATGTTCAATACAGAGGAACACTCATTGATGATTTACTGTATTTCCTCGTTTTTCATCGATTCGAACGTGGAAATTCTAATTTCTTCAATGGAATAATATTTTTTCTTGAACGAGAGTAAAGAATTTAAAGGTTAGGATCTTAGATATTGCTGTTTTGCACTATGTATTGTTCGAATAACATTCGTGTCCAACACTGGATGTGGTCCTGCAAAACTTGAACTTGCGTCATAGATCGTTTCGAAACGGGGAAATCTATTTTATAGTTAGAGAGTTGATCTAGCGAGACGCATGTGATTTATCTGATAATTACGCTGCTGGTCTTGGAATAGATTTAACTGGTACAGAGGTTGCAATGAAAGCGAATGCGAATGAATTCTCATTTGTAGAAGTGTTAGTTTGATGAATTTATTGTTAGCAAATTACAGGGATTTGGACAATGGGCGGCTCGATTGTTGTTGGGTTTGAATACCATTTTTCTATAGACTTTTAGTTAGCTGCGTACCAAAGAATGTACTATGACAAAGAGGCTCAACTGCTTCTCCGAACGCGTTGCGTCACAGGTTATACCTTTGGGTGACATCGTTCCGCCTGAACTTTCTTCTTGCTTCGTGTAGGATGGGAAATTACGATTGCTGCGTACGCGGCGTGAATTCTATGTCTGGGCAGAAGATTTACAGATACGTTCTGAGGTTCGACATTAATAAGCATGGGGCTTATTGTCCTCAACTCATTAGGTTTTGAATAGTCTCCGCAATCACTGGACTGGGAGTGTCAAAGAATTTGTGGAATTATTTACAGTCACAAATATTTAAAAAGTAATAAACAATTTGTTGAAAATTATCGTAACGAACATAGGATCAGCTGGTTGCTAAGGACAACGAGAGATCAATGGCTACCAATGGCGACGCCATTAACGTTTCACAAACTACGTTACTAATTACTACATAAATCTTTCTAAAATCCTAGTTTGTTAACACTTCTCTTCAATTTCGACGTGTGATTATTGCGATAGAATTTTGAGTACGTTCAGCACGTGAAGCTGTCGGTTTCAAGAAACTGCGAAGCATAATAGCTAACGTGTTAATCTTTGGCAGAGTGATTCGTCCGTTGCCCACGCCAGTGTCAGGCGTAGTTATCCTACATTCCGTGATCGACGTTTGTTTTCACTTTTACGATGGAAGGTAGGCATCCTAAATGATGGTAGTCAGTGACGTCTTTAGACATTCTCGGTGAAAACTTTGCTAACAACGCGAACACTTCTGGGTAATTGAAATTATACTAAAAGAATATAAATTGTGTAAGTGTGGATTACATTGAAATAAACTGTATATTCGTTATTATTTTATTCATTTTGATTCGTTCGTTTAAATACCAGACTAATAGTTCCAACACTTTTGTTATAAGGACATGGTATATGAATAAAGATTTGTCACACTACATTTGCTTGATTTTACACAATTCCATGAATCAGGGGACAATTAATTTTATTAAATATACGTTCTGGGGTCTGTATATTATATGTATAGAGTAAAATCTACGTTCCCATTCAGGTTCAATTTTTTTCCTGCAGATTAATCTCTGTATCAAATACTGTGAATCCTCGATGAGTGTTCGAAGGCTTCTCGCCACTGTCAAGAAGAGGTTCCCAGGTGTACCGCTGACTTTTTAAAGAAGTTTAGCAAGTGATAGAGCTTGGAATTCTGAAGCCAATGATAATTGTTTCAACCGCATACGGTCATTAGTTTATGAAATATTTAATGTTGAGAGCTGAGAAACCTTCGAACACTCATCGAGGATTTATATACATCTGACACGGTAATAAACGTAATAATCCTTAGAAAGGGTGATTGCTTACACTTTATAAAGATTTCAAATACAATCAAGATATAAACTTCGGAATCAAAAATAAATAGTTGTAAAACAAAACACCATAAAATCTATATTTCGGTAAATCTGCAAATACCTTTTGTTTTTCATTCAATAAAACCCATATAAAAAAACGAACGAAACCCCAACTTACTTCGCTTGTCTTATAAAATTCGAAATTTCTATCAACATATCAGCAATCCATCGAAAA